AAAAAAAAAAAAAACAATACCATAAAAATCGGACATTTTAAAAACCCTCATTTCTTATTTTTATAACTCAGTTCAACAATGCCAACCAACCCTGTGGTGACAGGACATAATGTCAGCTGTAGAATATGTAAGTGATCTGAAAGATTAATATAACAAAAATGAGACAAAGCAAACAATTCTCAGTTTAGGACTAATTCTTTGCTAAGGTCAATTATAATATTAATCTTCAGAAAACAGCACTAGAAATACTATTTATTATCAAAATACCTCCATTGTGAAATACGTAAATCAGAGGTCTGCAAACGGTAGCCCACATACCCAGTCTGGCTTACTGTCTGTTACCGTAAATTGTTTATTTCTTTGCAGTACTGGTGAATGAGCTCAGGACTTTGGCCTTCACTCTGAGCTACATCCCCAGCCCTTTTGTTTATTTTTTAAAATTCTGAGATAGACTCTAAGTTGCTAAATTGTTCAGGTTTTTGTTTTTTGGGTTTTTTTGCGGAACTGGGGATTGAACTCAGGCCCTTACCCTTGCCAGGGAAGCACTTATTCTATTGAGCCATCTCCCTAGCCTCTAAATTGTTCAGGTTTGACTAAAATTTACAATGCTTTGCCTCAGCCTCTTAGAGTGCTAGGATTATAAGCACACACTAACACACTTGCCTGTAAATAGTTTTTTGGGGACATATATTTATTTAGTTAGTGTCTACATATATTTATATAGCTACTTTCACAATATTCACAAGTCATCCTTTTATCATCTAAGATTGATTGATTGATTGATTGATTGATTGATTGATTGTCTTTTTGAGAGAAGGTCTCACTCCGCAGTTCAGTCTGGCCTTCAGTTCACTTTGTAGCTCAGGCTGGTTTTGAACTTCAAACAATCCTCCTGCCTCAGCATGAGTGATTGCATTAAAGGTTTGTGTCACCATGCCCAGCTTATGCTCAATTTTCAAAAATCAAAGTAATATAATTTTCTTTAAAAAAAAAAATACATTTAGTACAGGATTTACAGGGTCTCACTACACAGATCAGACTTGTAGTGATCCTCCTGTTTTCAGCCTCCCAGGAAGTGGGATTATGGGTGAGTGCCACCACACTGTGCCTCAGTTGCTCTCTCAGTGTGCCCTGGGGCAAAACTGGTACAGCATGCAGGGATTGAAGCTTGGTCCCTGTGCCTGCCTAAGCAAGTGCTTTAGTCTACTGAGCTATCTGGCTGGCCCTATCAAAAATCAAATTAAAGCAACATTTTTGTTAACCCTGAAATATATATTTAAATTATAGTTTAAATTATCTCTTTAGTATTAACTGTTATTGGCTTAATATATAATCTCTGAAGGCATCTTTCCATTAAATAAAATTATTTAAATATTACAGCCATTATCTTTTGTAAAAAGAGAAAAGACATTGTCATTTAATTTTAATAATGAAGGATATACATTTATATGTGTTGTTAACTTACATAGTCTGGAACTTTCAGTCCTCGTACAGTTACATACAACGTTGATGGATAACGATTTCTTGGACATCTGGACCACCATTCGAAAACCTCAACAGCATTTAACTGAGATCGAGGCTTAGTAGGTGGATAGTACAGCTGCAAGCGAAGTTTTGAATTGATATTCGCATTTCCATTGGCTCCCAGAAGCTTAAAACAGGAATTCATGCATAAAATATTACTTTTATTAAAAATAAGTGCATCCAATGAAGCAATGGTAAATAGAAACTTAATTTTAAAAACATTAACATGGCATCTTGAAATTCCTTAGATTTACAAAGCCAAGGAAAGAAGACTGACAGAGGCAGTTTCATATCCTTTTTGACAAAATGCAACCCCAATGATTTTTAGAGTACTTTCCAATGGCTCTCTTTTCACCTGCTTAGAACACTTCAGACTGATTCTGAAGCATTTATACTATTGTGCCAGATGTTACTTTGCATAAATGAAGTAATCATATATATTTGTCTGAAATAATGATAAATATTAAAATATACACTAGTTAAACACAGAAACAAATTTTCCATTTGTTTACTATCCAGATTTTAGTGGTTAAAATTTTGTTTCAGGTTTTTTTTTTGTATTCAGTACAGGGTCTGCAGGGTCTCATTACCCAGATCAGACTTACAGTGACCCTCCTATTTTCAGCTCCCCAAGGGCTGGGATTACAGTCAGGCACCACCACGCCCAGTCTTAATCTGCATCTCAGTATGCCCCAGGGGCGGAGCCAACACTAATGCTGGGGATCAAACCCTGGTCTGTGTCTGCCTAAGCAGGTACTTTAATCCCCTGAGCTATCTGGCTGACCCAATATTTTGTTTTTTCGTTTCAATAATTTTTATTTTTATTTATTTATTTTAAGTGGGTGTTTTATTTATTTATTTATTTATTTTTAAAGACAAGTTCTGTATACATAGCTCAGGGTGGCCTTGAACTCATTATGTAACTTGGACTGACCTTGAACTTCCACATGCTGGGATTATAGGTATGTACCACCATGCACGGAAATGCCTTTTTAGTGGACTCTTCTTTTTTTCTTGCAGTACTAGGGACTGAACTCAGGACCTTGTGCTTGCCAGGCAAGCGTTTATTCTACTGAGCTATCTTCCCAATCCCTCAATATTTTTTAAAGTTAAAATGAGCTTAATTAAAGCAATTTAAATCACTCACATTGTTTCAATATTGTATTCTACCTTATTATTTTTTTTTTTGTATTCTACTTTCTTTAAAAGGTCTTTTAAAAAACCACAAAAAAACCCTCAATCTACATAAATAAGAGATTCCTATAAGAAAAATAAAAAGTTTTACCAACCCATGACAGGTCCTATTTCACCACACCATGACGAAATAGGAAATACTTCTTTTTGTTTTTCTGTATTTTAGAGAAGGGTCTACAGGGTGTTCAGGGTCTCCTCACTACTAGGGTCAGACTTATAGTGATCTGCTTGTTTACAGCCTCCCAAGAGCTGGGATTATAGGCGTGTGCCACCACGCCCAGTCTCAGCCACCATGAGGGTGGGGCTGGCACATCAGGCCCAGGGCTTGAACACCCCCCTCCCCCTTCTTGCAGGCATTGTAATCCTCTGAGTTATTTGGCCAGCCCTAGAAAATATTTTTCTAGCCTTTGTATCCTCTGCAAATTAAGGACACAGAGATAACTAGAAGCTTTTGTAGCAGTGTAGGCAGAGCATGAAGGCAACTTATACCAGAAGAGTAGGTACTGAATGAGGAGACATGCTTAATAATATGTCACCAATTTAAGCAACTTGGAAAGTAAATAGGATCAAAGGAATATTGTAAGGCAGCACTGTCCAACAGAACTTTCACTAGTCACATGAAGCTACTGAAGTGTGGACAGTGCAACCAATGAATTGGATATTTAATTATATTAAATTTCTATTCATCTGAATTCAATTAGTCACATATGATTTGTGGCTACCAAATAAACAGTATAATTCTCTGGTTAAAAGTAGCCAAGAGAGATAGGAGATTAGGTAAGATGTTTACTTCAGGGATGTCTGAGACATCTAGAGTCATCTAAGCTGAACTGTGCAGTAAGTAATCACATTAATAAATCTGAAGGGAAGGTTAAAAAAAGTGGCTCCAAGGAAAGTGATTGAACTAATAGCAGAACTGACATTAAAGTAGCAAGTGGAAGACCATGAAGAAATGGCACAAGGAAAGGATGGTGACAAGAAAGCCAAAGTAACAGAGCTTCAAGGAAGTGCTATACAAATGCACGTAGGTGTGACAGCAATAGAACAGACAAATTTGCATATTATTTTGCAATATGAAAATTTGGCAATCAAATATTTGTAATTTGAATGGAGAAGCTTTACAGGCAGAGACAAAATCCAGTTGTGGCACAGGAAAGATGCTTAGATAAACAATCAAAGTCATAACATGTAGCTCACTGTCACCCCTACACTCTAGCAAAGAATGCAAAGACAATAAAGGTCATTGTCAGAGGAGGGTAACACTCTGATCAGTGTCAACTGATACAGAGAGGTAAAAAAGTTTCAAATTGAATAATAATATTCAGTCATTAAGTATTAAGCAGTGCACTACTGTACTTTGATAAGTCTTCCTATTATCTGTCCAAAACTTACCAGAGTAACTTTTAAGGAGCTAGTCCCAGCTTCCAATCACTCTTTCTATTAGTTATTTTAGAACTCTCTAAAGAATCTAGCATATAGCACTATGTTGGTTAATATGAATAAACAACTAAGATCCAGCCATGACTATGATTATAGTCATAAACTGTATAATGCAGAGTCAAATAATTATATTTCATTAGTTTAAATTTAAAAGTCACATATATGTGCTATAAGAATCATAAAGTGACTAAGATATGAATTCTGAGAATTAGGATGTGGCCTTATAGACCACTATAACTTTACAATTATCCAAGACATTCTGCAACCTAATATAGGTAGTAAAACATTTACAATTTAACTTGATTCATGCTACTTTCCTAAAATGAAATTTTACCCTCATCACTCCATCTATTCAGTAACTCTCTCAAAAAGATAATCTTCAAGCACCTTCTGCATGTCACTAATAGTGATATTATGGTATTTCAAGACAGTGATACATTAAATGCAAAGACATCTAGTAAAATAAGAACTAGAAATGTTTGACAAATTTATAAAAAGGTCACAATTTGTGTGTGTGTGTGGGAGGGCAGCTCAGGGGATCGAACTGTGGTCCCTGAGCTTTGCCTAAGCTTGCCTAAGCAGGTGCTTTAGACCACTGAGCTATTTCGCTGGCCCAAAAAGGTCACCCTTGACTCTGAAAGGCTTAGAAAATGAAGAAGATATTGTTACAAAGGGGAAGCACATAGAATACCTTTATAGGGATGACAAGGAAAATTCTTT